TCCTACAGTCATCATTCTATTGTAATATGCCATTTATTTTATCAATTAAATTGAGCTAGATTTTCAACCAGGTGGTAACCCTCCTCAAACATGTTTTCTGCTGTCAGCCTTCTTAAAACTCTTTAGCTTCGAAACCCACACTTCATTTATTTTATCAATTTAATTGAGTTAATACTTTATATAGGCGGCAACCCTCCTCAAAAATATTTCCAGCAGTTATCTTTCTTAAACCTATTTAAATTTATACCCTTACTAGCTATACCCTGCCACGCTTTGCTGTGGCATATTCCTGTTACATGGATGACAAATTATTAACGAAACAAAGCATACGTTTCATATGAGTTTGATTTTGTAATAAGTACTTGTGTGCACACAATATTTGTCGTGTTTCCATTCTCTGCATTAATATCAAGGATATCTGGCGCCGACACGGGAACACGCAACATCTAAGAACCAATCCGCATCTCAATCTAAACCACACTTTTCCAAAGGATAACCTTGAGCATTATTGATTGTGATTCCGAATGCGAATCGAATTGGGAATTGCAGCCTTTGGAATGGAAATGGTATATCGGTCGGAATCATGGGAATTCTTCTCCTCTGAAAGGCCACGTTAAAATCTTTACTTACACTACGTTCTTAATCAATTTGTTAACTGCGTGTCGCGTACTGTTGCGGAGTTTTGGCTGATTAATATTCCGCAACGTGATAATTGGCACACCTATTTTCAATTCAGTATTTGGGGTCATCCCCGGAAGATCAATCGAGTTCAAAATTTCGTTGGATAATTAACTGATTCGTCATCTTCCACAACGGTGTTTATCGACGTATATGTTATTGTTTAAGCGACTTATGCATTTTCCACATAAACAAAGAACAGCGAACACACAGACGCACTTGTTTTTAAAGGTAATTCGCTCGTTTTTTATTGGGTATGCATTTTTTATGCAATTCTCAAATATCTCTTCGCTGAACTTACGCTAACCCAGCTTTAAGCATCACCAACACTCCACTCCCGGAGTAATTTTTGGCATGGTATTAAGCTACTGCTTACAAACCACACTGGGGCTCTGCACGAATGCATCCCTGGATAAATCCCAGCTCATTGCCCAGCAGTCTAAGGCAGCTAGAGCATGACTCCTCCAATGGAGTCCCCCAATGAATACACGGTGAAAGGGTCACATCTTGCGCTACCGCTTCATCAGCCTGCCCGCATATCTCTCTCTCTCTCTTTCTCTCTCGCATATCAGGCATATAAAGTGCGTGGCTAACTTGATGTGCACCTGGTAGCTCGTTCACTGAGCCTATAATTAATTTTCTTAATGAAGAAACATTCTTTCGATCAGTTCTCCTTTCAATGTTCCTTAGTTAGAAAAATTATAAGGCAATAAAATTCGTCTTAATCTCTCGTTGGCTGGCAGCTTTCCGTGTCCAATGTCCAGTACTTGAAGGCGAAAATACCTCGGCTGCAGTGTATATATGTATGTTCGTCTTGCCACAATATTGACTATTTCAGGCAGCGTTGCCGAAAGCTTTCGCTGAAAAATCGTCAATTTACCCAAAAAAAATCGTCATTTGAGCCAAAGAAACGTCAAATTTTTATTTACTAAACTTTTTAACTATATAAAAAACAATAACAAAAATATAAATACAAAGTTTATTTGTTTAGACATACATACATATGTATAATAAATATGACTGAACAAATTACAAAACCAAAAGAAATCCACATTGTATATGGGTTATAATAAAAGTTGATTAATAACAAAAATTTTAAATTAGAATTTAAAGCATAACTGCTTATAAATTTTTGTATTCCACTGGTTTAAAGTTTTTTAAAAGAAGTTGATCTAATTTTAAAGTGTAACAGGAGCATTTGTTAACAGATAGATAATCTTGACTGAACAAAATTCCCTGTAAGGTCGAGTTATCTAGCCTGTTTCTGTATTTCGTTTTGTTTAAATTTACTTTTGAGAAAATTCTTTCCACATTAGCTGAAGAGCTTGGTAGGGTCATTAAATTTGACACAAACTGACACAATGTAGGAAAAACCTGCTCGGAGTCTGCGCGAGTAATTTTGGATATGGTACTCCAAAATTCTTCGCAATTAAGGTTATCCGTCATTGCAAAATGATCCTTAAAGTTTAAAAATCGTAACTCCCTTAGCTCATCGTCTAATTTTTGAACATCATTTTCAGCAACTAAATTAGGAAACCGCGTTGCTAACACTTGTAGTGAAATAATTCTTTTATTTAAAATCGCGATAGGATTAATAAAATATAATTCTTTTAAAACAACATCATTGAAATCAAACCGGCTCCTTAATTGTCTGCAGAGTTCAATATAAAAGGCAATGCAATTATGTGTGAATTCATACAAATCGTTAGAGGAAAGCTTACATTCATCAATTTTGTGTTTTACATACACTCCAAGATATATATCTTCAACTTTACAAAACAAATCCTTATTTTCAAAGTCAATCTCGTAAACACATTCGCCATCTAAATAAATCGAATCGATAAAGTTGTCTAAAATCTTTAGGTAAAGGCCCAACACTGCATTGTGAATATTTTGTATTTGACAATTTGCGCTTTGAAATACTTTGTTAACCTTGTTAATAATATTGAGTACATATTTTAAAAAACATAAATACAGTTCATTAATATCATTTAGATTTTTAAAAACAGTAACGGCAGTATCGATATGATCAATATTTGATGCGCGCGAGAAAGAAATTTTTAATTCGAATTGTACCACCCGACCCACCACTAATTCTAATGAAAGCCATCTGGTTTGCGCCGGATGTAGCATTTTTTTTTGGTTTGTATTCCAAAAGTGACGAAATTTTTAAAAATTGTGCATATCTTTTAGGGCTATTTGCAATATAGTGTTATATATTTCGTACCAAAGTCTCCACTTCAGAAGGTAATTTGAGGCACGCATACGATGAGCAAAGCGCCAGTGAATGGCAAAGGCATTTAATAGTAAACAAACTTGGAATATCAACTTTTAGCAGTTTTGATACGGAATGATTTTTACCCGTCATATTTGCCGCACCGTCCGCTGTGAAACCAATCAAATTACTCTTGTAGCAAATATTATGTTTATTGAAGTAATTCACAACAGTGTTTTATATACTTTTTGCATCACAATTCTCCACTTCAATTAAGCCAAAAAAACTATTTTATATAAAAATCTAAAGTTGCTCTAACAACTAAGCACAGCGATTTTGTATTCGAAATATCCGTTGACTCATCAATGCACAAGGAAAATTTTTGCTGAAGTAGAAGTGAACACAAGTACTCAAACTGGCTGCGACCCAATACATTTGATACTTTTGAAGTTAATTTTGAGTCTGAAATACCATGTTTTAAAAACTGCGTCAAGTGATCTATGCAGGAAAAGGGCAAATTATGCTCTGCAATAACTGCAACTGAAGCTCTATAGTCTGAACTTTTCTCGTTTCGGCGGAACTATTTTGAAACTGCGTATCGATAGTACTTTGGTTACTAACTATGCAACTTGCCCTCTCGCTATGCTTTTTACTTGCTTTGTGCCTCAATAGATCACTTTTTCCAGATCTAACTCGAAGTAGGGTGTTGCACAATTTGCAAGCAAGTTCGTCAGTACCTGATGGATTTTTTTTTCTTAATCAGCCAACTATCAAACTCCTCCGCCCATGATGAACATATTTTACGTTGATTGCTTTTAGTTTCCTAAAATATATTTAAATATATGCGTATAATGTACAATAAAGTCTTTATTGTTTATGTGTTTATTTAATCACAATTATTCACCGGCACAATTTCTTTTACAGCGCACAGTGTCGCGACTTCATATAAGCGTTGGCCAAAAATAGAAGGAGTTATAGTAGGTAAATGAAAATTGGTACAGATACTTAACGTAAGTAGACTAAGAAAAAACTAAGTTTTGAGAAAATCAGCCCAAGGACACGCCCACCTCCCATATATCCTGAAATGAAAAAAACTTATATTTTCCAAAATTGTTGTTGGAATTGAACCAAATTTGGCTCGATTTGTCTCAGATATATAACTGATAACTGTGTTTAATTATATGGAATTATCTCAAAGAACACGCCCACCTCCCATATATCCTGAAGTAAAAAATTCGAATAATTTCATGTAATTAGCTTAAACATAAACTTTATTTTTAGTTTTAGACAAGCAAAGAATATTTCTTATTTACTATTAAAATCGCCAATATCTTCAATGTTATCGCAGAAATCATCCTCAGATATGATGCTTTCATCTTCCACAAAAACAAAATCTTTTATTTCATTTAGATCATATCTTCTTAAAAAATTTTTTTTACTGTTCATCGAAATATCTGGCTCTGACTGCAGAATTAGGTAATGTATTAGATCCCTATTGGAGTCAACTCTACTCGTCTTTCTTGTATGCCTCAGTCTATTATTTCGAATTACTTTGTGACAGGACTCTATGGCCTCCTCCGATAACATTCCAATTGGTATATTTGAATACTTGATGTAATTAATACCGTGAACTAAAACTTTGTGCACAGTAACAGGCATGTAGTACCAGGGATATAGCTTAAGTATTATATAAAATAAATGTTTCTTTTAATAGCTTTTCAAAGTTTGTAACATTTATGTGCAGTCCGCTGGAAAATGTTCTTAAAATAACAGAAAAGTTGTTTATTAAAGTTTTATCAACACCTGTTATCTGAGCCGCTTGTTCAATATTTGAAAAGAAGCGTCTGGCCGTGTTTCCATCATTCGATGTGCCATATCCTGTTTTAACCATATCAATAATAAGCCCAATTTCATTCTTGAATTGATCTTGAATCCTCTTTTTGTTTTCCATCACTACCTGCTTATTTTTTTCATCCACTATACGCCAAGACTTAATAGGTAGTTTATATGCAATGTGAATAATGCATTCAAAAAATTTTATCCATGCATGTAAGGTCGATATACCATATTCGTAGCAACTTTCCTTGACTTTTCTTTCAAGAACTAATTAGGTATTCATTTGTGTAGGTTTAGCTCCACACAGAACACAAGTCGCACAACTCTTATGCCCATGTATAGCATTTAACACAGTCCCGTCGATCATAGTTAATTTTAAGCGATACTGAACGTTAATTTTCTTTTTATCATTATTATAGACGTATGTAGTTAAATTTTCTATTTCACGCTGTATGTTGTCTTTTACTTCCATTATAAGTCTAGGATTTTCTTTAGCAAATAATATTTTCAGAGGTCTACATAGCCTTTGAGAAGAGTGTTTGCTGTTTTGCCACACAATTTTTTCATTTTTGCCTTCCACTATACGTAATGGTACGAAAGATGTAACAAACAAAAACTCGTCAGTAGCGTCTTGGCTTTCAAATTTTTGTTTATATACGCTATGACCGCTACTGCCATCAAATCCCCACTTGCACTCTAAAATAACATCACTTTCAGCACCAAATTCTAACTTCTTCAAAATGCTGTTTGAAGTTTTATCCAAAATTGCCTGTAATGGAACATGTACTGACGTTTCCGAAACTTCAATTCCGTCTGGAATAAGTTTTTTTTTAGCTTCTACAATAGAGTAATAGGACGGAAAACAATTTTTATGTACACCATTAACAACGTTTCTCATCATGTTGTATTCCCTATAAGAGATATCCATATCCACGTACAATGCTAACGCCTTTTCCACTGAAAGAGTTCCACTGTTACTTGATTCTGAAATTTTTTCTGCTGCTTTTTTAAGAGCTTCAGCAGAGGTTGACACAACAAGTTCATCAACACGTCTTCGCTTAGTTCGATGTGATGCTTCTTCGAAAGACACACGTGGCCGACCTCTAACAAAGCTTGAACTTGGTTCCTAAAAAAATAACAGACCTATTTTATCTTTGATTGACGCCAAGAACTGATTTACTTACAACACAAATAGAATCCCCATAGAATATTTCACTATCCAGCCAGTTATTACAGTGTTTTTCAAATAAGTCTTTTTTCCGTCCATACTTTTCCCAATTAGTGCTAAATTTCAAAATCGTAAACTTGATTTTTGTTTCCTCTGTGCAGTGTAATGATCTACGCAAATGATTTTCCACAAATTTGTTTATTTCATAAACGATAAGGCTCTTTTTACATTGCTTCATTTCTAACCATTTGTTGAAAATATCGCGTATCTTCAATGGGGTAGACACTGAAAAATATTCATAAAAAATAAAATCGCATACCATCGCAGTTGAGATTTATATATATTTAAATACACACTTTTTCGCACTAAATATCAAAATATTGGAGAAGTGTTTTGATGTGTTTTTTTTATTGTCTTCTAAACAAGCGGTTCGCTTTCAACAGGTCACTTTGATTTAGACATATCTTTCAGCTAACTGTTCTTTCCATATGATCAATATTTGTCAACAAAACGAGTGTTGCCATATTAATTGGTACTTAAATTTGACAATCTATTACAATTTTTACCGACAGTTACATTAAGTATTTGAAATAACAGCGTTTGAAAACTATGTAAAATTCCAGATTTTTCAATGATGATACTACATGGTTAACAACTATCACAATTGAACTACTATAAAAAAAATACTAGTTCACATATCCAGGAAAAATTTTAGATTTCATCTAATTTAAGTGTTTATTTGTTAATAAAGAAAAAAACTTTTGGAAATTTGAATGTTCACATATATCATTTTTGGCCACTGCCGTGACACTGTGCAGCGCCACTTCGTGTTTCAGTGGAGCAATTGCTTTTATCTATATACATTTAAATACAAATATAAATTACTCTATAAAATGTTATTTGAATACATATTTTATTATATGCACATACCTGTGTGAATTAAAAACTTATCAATTTCTTCAGATTTATTTAATTTGAAATATTTAGCTTACGCACGAAACTTCAATGAGCACAAATTGTTTTTCTATAACTGACGAATATTTGAATTCTTCTTTCACCTCTTATCCAGTATTCCTCTTTGTAAGTATATCACTATGTAGAGAGACAGAGGTGGCGCATTCCGCTGTTTGTGCGTTTGTGTGATTTTTGTTCTCCTTCATCTCCGCTATTCGCAGGAATGCGCATTCTCGTAAATATGTATATGAACCTTTCTTCCTATCTCTCTACTTTTGTCCAACATATGTACATGCGTGTTATCTTTCTGTCTCTTTTGAATTAGTGTATCAGCAGCAGCGTTGCCGTTTTGGTCCAATTGGACCAAATTGGTAGCTTCATTCTCCTTTGGTAGTTTGGTTGGTTTGATGAAGCTTTTGGTAGGCAAAAATGTTTTGAAAAGTCAATCAAATTGAGCATTAAAATTTGTTCACTTAGGATATTTGCACACTTGTCGTCCAATCATAGTTGCGCTATCGTCTCGCCCTGAAAGTTTGAGCCAAGCACATGCATTTCAAAGGAGATCTGCACACTTGTCGTTATCGGCTAGTTATCGGCAAATCGTAGAAGATGCAGAAACGGATAATTATGGCACTCTCGTTTGCTAATCGTTGTGCACGCATTGTTTGTTTACATTTTATGGGGAAAAATTAGTGAAAAAGTTAATGTTTGCATTAAAATTTTATAAAAATTTGTATTTTTCGCATAAAATCTGTAGAAGTTATTAAAAAGTGGATAATTGCAATGAAATTCAATAAATGAATTCAAATATCACGACCGAGTTGCATCATTATTGTGATATTGAAAAACAATAATTGGACAACCAATGTGCAGCACGCCTTACTTTGCGTTTACACGTTGAAAAAATAAGTTTTCTTTTTTTTTCTAAATTTTAGTACNAATAAATGAATTCAAATATCACGACCGAGTTGCATCATTATTGTGATATTGAAAAACAATAATTGGACAACCAATGTGCAGCACGCCTTACTTTGCGTTTACACGTTGAAAAAATAAGTTTTCTTTTTTTTTCAAAATTTTAGTACGCACACAATTTTCTGCAAACAAAAACTGACTTCCCAAAGCTATGATCGATCAGCTGTTGAAATTGATCGAAAATTTGCCTATCGTCTTGAAAGAAAAATTGGTGATAGGCAATTTGCAAAGTGTGAGTGTATGCAAATTGAAACAAAATTTGTATTTTTTTTATTGAAATACATAAAACGTCAGATTTTGTTACTTCAAACATAACAATTTTTTGATATGAATTGAATGAATCTCAAAGTTATTTACATTTTTTACAAAAGTTTTTTACGCAATACGTTAATTCTTTTATTTGTTTTGTTTAACCTTAAATATTGGTATACAGTTAACCAACACAGTAAACAATATTATATTGTCAAATTGTGTAGCTAAAATCCCCGTTACTTCAAGAAAATTTCGTTTTAATGATGAACAAAAATTTGTTTGTTTGGAAACTGATTTGGTAGGCGTTTTGGTACCTAAAAATAAACTCAACACACAACAACGGCAACACTGATCAGCAGTGCAAATTTACGATTTGGTTACAATTCTATAGAAAATGTAATAGAAACAAAAGCAAGGTTGTATTTTGAACTGGGTTTGCCTTTAACAAATTTTGTCCATAGGAAAGTGGAAAAAACTAAAATTAAAAATCGTCATTTCGGGGAAAAAACGTCAGAGCGTCATTGAGCTAAAAAAAACATCAAAATGACGACCAAGTCGTCAATTCGGCAACGCTGATTTCAGGCAAGCATTTATCTAGTGTTAATCCAGAAATTACAGACAATGTTTGCGTAAAATCTCCTGAGAGCAAAATCAGTACATTCCCGAATGGTTGAACGTTTCCATGCAAATCCCGCGACAATGGATCAAGGACCTCAAGCAATTTCTTATGTGCCATCGTGCACTCATCCCAAATAATTAGTTCAAATTTTTGTACTACTTTTTCCATACCGGATGTTCTGGAAATATTGCAAGTAGGAGTTTCGATGATTTATATGTTCAATGGCAGCTTAAGAGCTGAATTAGCAATGTTTCCACCTGGTAGCAATTCCAGGCGAAGCGATAGTTAAGGTTATGTAATTGTTTGTACGAACCGTTGCCATAAATAATCAATCTGACAAGGAATGTTACATATTCTTCCTCTTATTTGGCGCCGTAAACGCCTAAGCCATTTTGGCCGACATCGACAAAGAACGCCAGTCGTTTCTCTCTGTGCCGACTGGCGACAGTGGGAAATGCCACGTGAAGCCAAGTTCTTCACCACTTGGTCTCCCCCTCTTCCTCTGCTACCACCAGCGGATTCCGAGTTTAATACTTTCAGAACTGGAACGTCGCTTCCCATTCGAACGACATGGTCAAGCCCGCGGAGTCGCTGTATTTACATTCGCTACACTATGTCCATTTCGTTGCAAAGCTCATACAACTCATCGTTCCTTCGTCTGCGGTACCCCCGTCGCCAACGCGGAGAGGCCTATAAATCTTCCCTAAGATCTTTCTCTGCAATACTTCAAGAGCCATCTCATCGAATGTTATCATTGTCTAAGCTTCTGCGCCATTTAACAGCTCGGGCATGATGAGTGACTTATAGAGTGTGGTTTTTGTACGTCGAGAGAGAACTTTACCCCCGAATTGCCTATTCAATCCAAAGTTGCATTTGTTGGCTAGAGTGATTCTGCATTGGATTTCCATACTGACATTATTATCGGTGTTAATGCTGGTTCCCAAGTAAACGATATTCTCTACTTTCTCGATATTACAACTGGCAGCAGTAATGTGGGTGTCAAGGCGGGACTGCTCTGACTCTTTGTTTGATGACAGGAGATACTTCGTCTTGTCTTCGTTGATCACCAAACCCAATCGCTTTGCTTCCTTATCCAACTTGGAAAAGGCAGGACAGACTCCAAGGTTTTTGTTACCGATGATATCGATGTCATTGGCATACGCCAGAAATTACACGCCCTTGTAAAAAATTGTTCCTGAGTGGTTCAGTTCTGTAGCTCTTATTATCTTGCGTCATGCGATCGTAAATTTCCTTCTTAATTCGCTTTAATTTAGAAATGTTTGTTTGGGCATATAACAGGAGTTCACAATAGTAATAGTAATCATAATCATAATAATATTATCTGATGTTATTCAAAATTTCTTTACTCGCATCGAGCAAAGCATCGATTTCAAACGCATATGTTTCATTGGGAGAGCGTATAGTGAAGAGCAAAGCGTACATACACTGTTTTAATTGAAGCTTTGCTCGATGACAGCTCTTCGCTTCGCTCGCCGCTCCACTATATTTTGACCTATGGCGCTATGGCAACCGAACGAAATTTTTTATGATTCAAATTTAACTGTTTTTTAATGTAAAGGAACGGTTATAACAAATTTAAGTTTTCATTATTTCATTTCATGGCATATTTTTATGTTTTCGTTACCTTTTTATCATTTCTTCATTTGTATCCGTTACTTTTTATTAAGTTTTTTTTCATTGCGTAATTTGTATACCAACTTATCACTTTTGTTTGATAAGATATCGTAAATTCTCTCTTTTTTTAAACTGTCCGGATTTGGATAAGTGGAAACTTAAAAAAAACTCTCTAGTAAAGCTTCCCCTATCACTTTCCGTTTCGAACCAGTTGTAATACTTCAGTTAATTTCAATATTTTCAGTTAATTTTACATATTGCACAATCCTATTTAGAATATTTGCAAATCAAGATTTCTCAAATACCTTTCGTTTGGTACCCATATTGTAACATTTCATTTATTTTATCAATTTAATTGAGTTAAATTCTCAAACAGGTGGCAACCCCCTCAAAAATATTTCCAACAGTCATGTTTTTTAAACCTCTTTAATTTGATTCCTATATTGTAATAAGTCATTTATTTTATCAATTAAATTAAGTTAAATTTTCAAACAGGTAACAACCCTCCTCAAAAAAAGATCTAAAGTTTAATACCCACATTGCAATATTTCATTTCTTTTAACAATTTGACTGAGCTAAAATTTTCAAATAGATGGCAACCTCCCTCAAAAATATTTCCAGCAGTCATCCTTTTTAAAACCTCTTTAATTTGATACCTATATTGTAATAAGTCATTTATTTTATC